CTCCTCTACACCACGAGCGCACAGACTTGGGCGCCCTCCGGTGCTCTTCCGAGAACTGTGAAGTCCATGTTCATCCAGATGTACCGAAAAGTCACCCCACATGTCTGAAACTGTCGCTTCTCCTCGGAAACTTCATGTCCAGTGATTTCCAAATACAACATGAGCTTTGTTTTCTTTAGTTTTTATAATGGCAAATGTTTTGAAGGAAAATTTTACACCAGGCTTCTACTTACACTAGAAGTCGAGTCCAGTAGGGACACTTTTTTTTTCCAGTTGGTTGTTGAGAAGTTTCAAAAATCAGTCTTCAAGCTGTGGTCTTTCAAACACATCTTCTGCACATAAGTCACACATTTCAATAAAGCATTTTCAAGACTGTTGACCACTTGAATTTCTTTGGTGTTGGTGAAGTAGCCTACCCATTACTCAGAGATTTCATATCTCTAATGCAGTATTTTTTTTCTTTTTTATGCTAAACATAGAGGTTCTGATTTTGTATGAATGCATTACTTTGGGTGTGAGAAACTGAAAATGCCAATTATGTGCTTTCCCTTTTCTGCACAAATTCTGGGAAAATGTAAGATTGAGCCTTTTTAACGTGGGTTTAGAGAACAACTGTAAGCCGTTGAGGGTAGTTTAATTTAGATGATCAGTTTAACACTTCAGAAGACCTAGGGGTTCGTAAGATTCCATCTCATGTAGAATACTGTATATTAATTATTTTTTATCAGATATTTTACAAATACCTCACCTCATCCTGTATGTAATCAATAATGTATTATTTTAGAGTAGAAAGACACAGAATATCAATATAAAAATATATTTAAGCCCTTCAAATCCTTGTGTCCTTTTTCTTCAGTTTCTGAGTTAACATATTATTGGATGTTTTGGTGATTAAAAATAAGTTGCAGCCGGGCGTGGTGGCGCACACCTGTAATCCCAGCACTTGGGAGGCTGAGGCAGGAGGATCAGTGTGAGTTCGAGACCAGCCTGGGCTACAAAGTGAGCTCAAGGCCAGCCTGAACTGCATAGTGAGACCGTCTCAAAAAGACCAAAAAAAAAAAAAAAAGTTGCAAAGATTTAGATGGAGAGACGACAAAATTGAAGTACATCGTTGTTTTGGCTGCATCGTCAGGTTGCTAAGGACCAGGTCCTGAGCTTTTGAGAGGTTTTTCTCTTGTGCTGATGTGAATGTGGGGATGTTCTGCAGTCCTTGTCTTGACTTCCTGCTTGGGAATAACTGTGCAAGGTGTTCTGGGAAGACTTCGACTTTTTGACTCAGAAAACCAAAAAAAAAGGAAAACTGAAAGGCAAGGGCTGCAGAGAACATGTGGCCATTTCTGGTATTGTGTCATCTGTAGGATGGAGAACGCAGCGTGTTCAAGAATCCCAAAGCAGGCCGGGCGTGGTGGGGCGTGCTTGTAATCCCAGCACTCGGGAGGCTGAGACAGGAGGATCATTGCAAGTTCGAGGTCAGCCTGAACTGCCTCGGGAGACCCTGTCTCAAAAAGACGAAAGAATCCCGAAGTAACCGGTGCTGGACTATGAGTGTGAAGGATGCCCGTAGGCACAGGGTGGGGTTAGAAGCTTGAAGCACTTGAATCTGTCTTCTGTCTTTCTCAGATTCTTTAACTCGAGTGCTTTTCTACAGTTCCTCAGCTCTCAAACCAGAAGTAGCTGTGCCTTTTCCTCTCCAGTACCAGGGATTGAAGCCAAGCCGCACACGAGGCGGGCAGCCGAGCTACATCCTCAGCCCTTTCTATTTTGTCTTTTGAGGAGTCAAAGTGCCCTAACTGGACTCAAACTTGTCCTCCTCCCACTTTGGCCTCCTGAGTACCTGGAATTCGCTTTATGGCCTCAAACAAGAGGAAATGTCTGTGGCTGGCCACAGGGAAACCCTTAGGTTTGCAATTAAGTTGCATTGTTTTACCTCATTCGTGGTGGGGCTGTAATTTGTGTGTCTCACCGCCAGGCAGCTCTGGCCCACCTGTGGCACCTGCGTGACTTGCCTTGCGCTGGCCCGGAACAGTCCCATCGGGTAGTACAGAGCACACCGTGAGACCGAAGTGCGTGTGCCTCTGGTGGTTCAGGACAGCAGGAACCGGCTAATCCACAGAAGTAGGAACTAGGTTTCCTAGTAACAAGAGTGGATTATTCCGCTTACGATCAGACCTAGGTTCTAGCCAGGCACAGTAGCACACGGCTGCAGTTCCTGCACTCAGGAGGGTCATAACTGCAGGTTCACGACCAGCCTGAGCTACGTAGCAAGACCTGTTGCAAAAAGAGAAGTTCCGACCCTGTGTTCCCCACATGGGGCAGTAGCTTAGGGTAGCTGCTTATGTTTCTAGAAATAATAGAACACAAAAGTTCATCCCATGGTCACCCCCTTCCCTCTGTCCGCTTCATAGTAGTATGTTGTCAGTAGTACAGGTTTTCTAAGGTCAGCAGGCCTGTTGGATGATTACGTTCGGGGCCACGATTAAACAGGTGAAGGGCCCGGAGGCTGCAGTAGCTCTTAGCTTGCGTTCCCAGAAGAAAGCTTAAGCCCCTTGTAGCAAGTGTTCCAGCATGGTTCTGTTCTAGGGTGAGCTGGGGAGGAGGATGGTAGGATGGAGAGTCTCCTCCCCGCTTCAGTGGTTCAGGGAGCCAGACCTAAGACCTGTGCTTGCCAGACCCTTGTCTGCCACTGAAGGCTTCGGTGAGGCGGCCCCCTCTGCCTGCCGAGTCCAGTGCGGTTCATACAGCTCTGGGCTCAGGTGTGCGCTGGGGAGGAGTAGGTGCAGTAACTGGTAGGCAGTGTCCGCTAGATCAGGGATGCCTGTCGCATTTGTTACTTGACTGCAGCATTTGGGGGACAATGCACCATTGATTGCATGTGCGATAAAAAGTAAAAACATGGAGCAGGGCGTGGTGGCACGTGCCTGTAATCCCAGCACTCAGGAGGCTGAGGCAGGAGGATCGTTGTGAGTTGGAGACCAGCCTGGGCTACAAAGTGAGCTCACGGCCAGCCTGAACTGCGTAGAGTGACCCTGTCTCAAAAAGACAAAAAAAGTAAAAATAAAAATAACACTAGGTAGGAAATCTCACCGGGACTACATGTAAAAGTTAATGTTGCTGCTGGCTGGAGATAATTTCTTGAAGGACTGGGACTGGAGCTCCGAGGCAGAGCACTTGCCTCGCATGCAGAGAGCTCTGGCTTTAATCCCCAGCACTACAGAAATAGGAAAAAAACATTCCCAGCACTGAGCTTGAAGAAAAGCAGGCCGGTAGGTGGATGTGTGGAGCGTCTCAGCAACTGAAGCCGGGTGGAGTTTGGATGGGGAGAGGTTGGGGGCGGAAGCGAGGCGGTGCAGACGGGGTTATCTGCGATGGTGGAGGTGGCTGTGACGGTAAACCCGGCCGTGTCTGGATGAGGTATCACTGTATTCCAAAGCCAGATTCAAGTGGCTGTTTCGGAACCCTGTAAAAATCCAACTCCGGGTGTCCATCAGCTCGCTAGTTTCGGTGCCGTAAAAGCCTGTTTTAACACAGCAGACTAATTAGCTGAATGCTGCAGAGCTGTTACCTCTGCTGGAGCGAGGTCCAATCGTGGCAGCCGCCACCTTCACTCACCTAGGAGAACCCAGCTGTGGTGCTGTGTGCCTGCTGTCCCAGCGCGTCGGGAGGCTGAGGAGGCAGGAGGATCATTTGAGCCCAGGAGTTCCAAGCCAGCCTGGGCAACACGGCAAGACCCTGTCTCCAAAAAAAGAAAAATTGCTTGGAGGATACATTGACTATAGTGCGGTGTTTCTAAACAACTCTCATGTAGTGAAGGGATCCCAGGCTAATTTGCATGCAGCCTCTTTGTGGATTATCTTCTGTGGCATCCCCTGCCCGCCCACCTTCTCCTATTTTCTGATTAT